GCGCCCCTTGTTGCTTTCTTTGTATCAGACATACTACCTCTAGGCAGATTTCCATATTCGAAGGCAGCAAGACATTCTCAGCAGCAAGAGACCCCATCTCGCTATGTATGTAGCAAAGCAGAGAACAGTGTCGGTTATTATCAGTTGGCTGTAGCTGAAGAAGAAGAATCCGTAAGACCTCACTCCTCCAAAAATAATTCACTTCTGAAAGGAGAAACTCCTTCGGAACAATTCCTTCATGCGTGCAGGCTTTCGCGTTTAGGGAAGAACTTGGCCACAATAACCTCCAGACTTTATTCACTGGTTCTTTATCTTTTCTTTTCCAGAAATCTTCTCTACGTCTACCCACAGAGGCTGAACTTTGCTAACAAACTGGCATCGGCCCGGAATATTACAATAAAGATTCAGTTTATGTGTGGAGAGGATGCTAGCAACGCTATGCCGGTAAAGACAGAGATAAATGTGTGCCTCCCACCAGGGTGGGCTGAACTTCCCTTGTCAGTCCCCACAGACAGAATCCAGGGCTCGTCAGCCTACCGAGTCCGTCCAGTCAAGCCCACATATCAGCACCTGCAAAGGCCTTGATGGCTAGTCCGATATTGGTCCCAGTGTGCTGAAGGGGAAACAGGGTCAGTCTAAATTGAAAGTCTCTTCCCTGACTTATTCCGTAGTGATCTGTGAAGTTTGGGGATGCAGAGCATTTTGGAGCACTGAAAGATGTTATGAAAACTTCCCATACCACTCTAATGGTATAAGAGCTGGAGAGACGGCCCCTGCTGGGTCGGCCATGTTTGCACGCTGCCCAAGCCCAGACAGCATCTGGAGATAAATGCAAAGTATTGCCTAGTAATGATAAACACACACACACCAGGGGCGCCCGGGTGGCTCAGTCGTTAAGCGTCTGCCTTCGGCTCAGGTCATGGTCCCAGGGTCCTGGGATCGAGCCCCTCATCGGGCTCCCTGCTCAGCGGGAAGCCTGCTTCTCCCTCTCCCACTCCCCCTGCTTGTGTTCCCTCTCTCGCTGTGTCTCTATGTCAAATAAATAAAATCTTAAAAAAAAATTAAAATAAACACACATACACCGTCTCAGCAGCCTTCAGGAATGGATCTTCAGCCTGAGGCAAAACATAAATCAAATACTAAATATATAGTACAGCAGTCTCTAAGGAACCCAAAAGACCAGAATTTGAATTATTTTACTTACCTGCCACTAAGTGAGATGGGCAGTTAGCTATTACTATTTTCCCTGAGTCCTAGAATTCAGTTCCTATACCTTTCTACTGAAGGAAATTTTTTCCAGTGCTTCTGTTCTTCAGATACCAGTTTTTTTTTTTTTAAACCATCCTTCTGTTGACCCATTCACCTTCCCAAAGCAAGGTATCCTCTTGTGACAGTGATGGGAAAGAAGTCCTCAAGGAGGGCTCCCCTCGTTCTCTCTGCTCTGGCCCCTAGCAAAGCTCCCAGGGCTGCCAGGTACAGCTGTGCAGAAGCTTCTTGGAGGGGACAAGTGAGGGCCAATCCCAGCCTGTTCTCCACTCCCCAAGCCCTGGGACCTTGTCATGAGTATTGCTGCATTTAGGAGAAGGCTCGTTTTCTTTGCCCAAAGGTGAGTCAAATCCTGTGCCTTCAGGGCTAAGTCAGGCCAGAGGAGGTTTCTTTCTTTCTTTTTTTTTTAAGATTTTATTTATTTATTTGACAGAGAGAGAGAGAGAACACAAGTAGGCAGAGCGGCAGGCAGAGGGAAAGGGAGAAGTAAGCTCCCCGCTGAGCAGGGAGCCCGACGTGGGGCTCCATCCCAGGACCCCAGGGTTGTGACCTGAGCCGAAGGCAGCTGCTTAACCAACTGAGCCATCCAGGCGCCCCTAGTGTCTTTTTCTAAATAGCAGAAACATGTCAACAAGCCAGTGAAGGTCCTGATTACCCAAGTGAACAGGTCCATGTCTTTGGAGGGAAAAGAACCTGGACCAGAGTCACGGAGGGCAAAACTATGTGGCTTTGCCTGGAGTACGGGCCTCTAGACAGTGAGGCAGAGTGGAGAGGGCTTTATTTTTCCAGTCTCACAAACCTGTGGCTCTTGGTCACTAATATAGCTCCTTGGGACCTCAATTTACCTTTCACAGTTGGTTCTTGTATGCAGTTGGGTCAGTTGTAAACCCAGCACCCTTAATTTATAAAATGTAGCTTTGTGAGACCAGAACAGCCGTGGGGCTGATGATAGTTGATTTGATACACCCAAATATCACTGCTAATTTGGTCTTTTCTGTGTTGGTGCACAGGTCATCTTTGGAAAATCCAGTGGCCCTGAATTTCTGCAGGAAGTATACACAGCTATTACATACCATAATAAGTAAGTACATTTCAGAGTTCCACATACATGCCACGGTTGTGTCATTATCTCCTGGATTTTCTGAATCCCCTTTTGGTGATTCCTCCCAGAAGTTTTTATAGCTCAGAGACTAAAGGACAAAGGAAATATATGTCAGTTCCATGATTCTGTGTTGGAGGTGCATACTTTTTGCCATTAACGAAGACCGGGAGAAGAACATGTCTTTAAGAATGAATATTGTTTTGACTTTCTGGAGCCTTCTGATGTAGTATGATACAGAGAAGTTTTATGGTATTAAATAAAGAAATAAATTTCCTAACTTGCCTGGAGATACTGCAGGGAGCCAGAAGCAAAATCCAGCACTTCTTTCCCTGTCTCCTTGTCTCCATCTGCCCTATTATCTACTCTCGGAACATTTCAGTTGTCCAGAAGAGAAATGGAACCCTCATTATTCTGTGGGTAAATTGAGTCACAGAATAATGTCTCAAACCATTATTGACATTTCACAGGTAAGGGAGGGAGGGTCAGATGGACTCAGGTTTCAACCTGGTTTGATAACCTTGATCCATTGAAGTATTTCTCTGACCGCTCTTTCCTGCCTTGAGATGAGGTTGAAATGAGTAATGCACCTGACGCCCTTAGGTCTCTGGGACTTTGTAATTCAGTAAATCAGTTTCCATTTCTTTCCCACCAGCATTCATTTGCTAATCCAAATTCCTTTGATGAATACCAGCCATGTGCCAGTCCTTGTCTTGGGGGTGGAGATAGAAAAGGAGGTCACAGCAAGACTCGGAGCCTCATGTTCTTTTCGAATTAAGTTGAACTTTTCCATTATTTGTGGAGTTTTTGTTGTCGTTTTTCCTGACAAAGCCTTTAGTTTGTGAGCAATCTTATGTAAGCAAAGCATATCTGGTGGTATAAAGGTTGGTCTCAAGGATCTTCAGTGTGGGAGCAGAATGATATAAAATGAAAAGCAAAACACCAAGCAGGCCAATTCTGAGGAGCAAAGGACTGTGGCGTTACAACTGATAGAGAAGTCACTGTTCTTGCTAGAAGTTATTCATGTATAATGTGCTTTTGAAACAGGTCTCCTGACTTCTATGAAGAAGTGAAAATCAAGCTCCCCGCTAAGCTAACAGTAAATCATCACCTCCTGTTCACCTTCTATCATATCAGCTGTCAGCAGAAGCAGGGAGCCTCCGTGGAAAGTCTTCTGGGATATTCGGTGAGTCTTTGCCAACTTGCCTATTCACACTTCGCTGGTTGGACTCCGAGGTCCCTGCAGAGATAAACAACTCGGTTCTATTCACTTGCTTTTTTTCTGTCAGAAGTAGCAAAATGTGCCAGACCAGATTCTAGAAAAAGCAGAAATGACTTGACCTAGCAGATGACAAATTTCTGGAATGGCAAGCTTGTGGGTGATAGATATTGGAAGAATACTCATTTATAAAAAAGCATTGCAATGTCCATTATTTCCAGATTTCATATATATGCGCCACCTATAAGACCAGCTCTTTTTCCTCCCAGGGGAAGAAAGTTATTTCTTTAAGAAATATAAAAGGTAAAATAAACATTGATGTTGTCCAGACACTCACAAACATTGGCTGTAAAGAAAAATGCTACTGCTTCAGCTCTGAAAACAGTAAATCATTGATATTACTATCTCAGGAGCTCTCAGGGAATTTAAAATGCAAAGAACTTGACAGAAATTACTGCCTAAAAGAGGCCTGGTCAATATCTAATCATCATTTAGTTGCATTTGATTATTGTGAGCTAGATAAATGGCCAGAATTATATGTTGTAATAAATACCGCTTTATTCTTTACATCATCTGTTTCAGTGGCTGCCAATTCTCCTAAATGAACGTCTTCAAACTGGATCCTACTGTCTCCCAGTTGCCTTGGAAAAGCTGCCACCCAATTACTCCATGCATTCTGCGGAGGTAACCAGCAAGTTAGCCGTTGGCGTTTCCTGTCCAGCGTGGTCTCGGACCACTTTCCCAGATCCACTTCTTGTTCCCTTAACCATGACTGAGAATGTGCACCCTGTTTTGGGGAGCAATCACCTGTCAGCACATTACATCTTCTTTTTTTTTTTTTTTAAGGGTTTATTTATTTATTTGAGAGAGAGCGTGTGAGGCAGGGGGAGTAGAGGGAGAGAGAAACTGAAGCAGACTCCGCACTCAGCGCAGAGTCCAACATGGGGCTTGACCTCACAACCCTGAGATCATGACCTGAGCCGAAGCCAAAATTCCAATGCTCAACCAACTATACCACCCAGGCACCCCATCACGTTGCATCTTCTAAGAGCACATTGCTCTGATAGGAGGGGAGAAGACACTGGTCATGAAACCCCATTCATCACCAACTCTGAATGTTTAGTAAATGCAACTTGCACCCAAGGAAGCATTACCTTGCATTATGCACAAGAAAGGGATTCACAGAATAATACATTGTAAACGGGGAGGCAAACAGAGCCCATTTGTGTTAACAGCTGCTCTCAGCACTGATCCTTTTAAAAGATTCCCACGCTAACTTCCACCAGTTTCTCCTCTGGGTCAGTTGTGGCCCTCTGCACTTGGTTACCTTTATTCCTCTAAAGATGCCAACGTCAGGAGTCTTTCCTTCCCCCCGTTTCCTGCACTGCCTCTTGCTCACCCAAACTCTGCTGCAATCCACCCATTTAAGGGGGCCCTGAGGACTCTCCGCTGCTCACCCCCGCAGCACCAGCTCTGTACCAGCTCTCATGCTTCTCGCTCGGCTTGCTGCAGGTTTGCATCAATAAGTATGATTTTGAAGCACATCCCAGACATCGTATCATTTCATTTATAACTATTTTTAAATTATCTTAAAAGATAAGGGCTCTTTTTTTTAACCATCACAATGCCATTGTCATACCTTAATAATTCCCTTATCTTCAAATATCCATTCAGTGATCAAATTTCCAATTATCTCATCAATGTCATTTTTTTTTAAAGATTTCAATTATTCATTTGCGAGAGAGAGAAAGCACAAAGGGAGAAGCAGACCCCCGCTGAGCAGGGAGCCTGATGTGGGACTCGATCCCAGGACCCTGAGTTCATGACCTGAGCCGAAGGCAGATGCTCAACTGACTGAGCCACTCAGGTGCCCCCAGTGTCATTTTTTTTTACAGTTGTTTGTTTGAATCAGGATCCAAATAAGATTCACACATTGCTGTTGGTTGACATGTCTTGTAAGACTCTTTATCTGTAGGACTCCCCCTCCCAACTTTATCTCTTGTTTTCCTTGCAATTTTCAAGTTGAAGGATTTCCCAGGAATTTGGAGTTTGTTCCAACTTTTAGAGTCAGCTTTCTTCTCCACTCTGACTATCCATCTATCATCCCCAAGCTATTCAGTTATTGTCATATTTGCTTTTTTTCCCCTAGAGAGGGAAGCTTCCCTTGCTCTGGGCTACAGGCACATGCCTGGCTTCCCACCGAAACCACTCGCCTCAAAACCACCTGAGATCAACCTGAGTATGTTCACAGACGTTCCCTGATGACTCTATGATTTGGACATGTGGCCCCTTGCCGAAGCCCTGAAAACCACCTTTTCATCATCAAGCTGCACATTCTGATTTCCTAGAATGCCCAGTTATTTTCTTAATGCTGCAAGACAAACGTGGGTTTTTGGAGACAGACACATCTGGATCCAAAATCCAGATGCTACCACTCCCTAGCTGTGAGAACATGGGGGAGCTGCTTACCCTCTGAGTCTCAGTAATGAACTGAACCCATACCAGCCTGTAAGGTTGCTGTGGACACTAAATGAGATAACGCATAGCAAGCAACAAACTCAGTGCTTAAAGTAATTTCCTTATATTAGTTCCTTTTTACTTCCTGCACTATGCCACCTTCATAGACATACCCTTAGCTTCACCCGCACTGTCCACTAGCCACATGTGGTTACTGAAAGTGGCTAGTTCAAACTGACATGTGCTGTAAGTATAAAATACAACCCTGCTATCAAAGACTTAGTGGGAAAAAATAATGTAAAATATCTCATGTATAGTTTTTTATATTGATTATATATTGTATCGATAATCTTTAGGCTATATTGGGCTAAACGAAACAGTATTAAAAGTATTATTGCATGTTCCTTTTCAATTTTTGAAAAGTGACTACCAATAGATTTCAAGTGACATACATGGCTCATGTAATATTTGTAGCGGACAGCGCTACTTTAGATTATAGGTGGTAAACTCTGGTGACCCCAGGGGTCAGGGGAGCAACATTGTGAGTGCTGAGTCCTGGTGGAATGTGTTCACGCTGGAGATAGTCTGCCTGTCGAGGGTCATATCCCACCACGCTGGGATGCAGGCCCATGTCTTCGTATCTTCCAGTTCTCAAAGGAAGTTAGAAAAGCAAGCTTTGGGGGCACCTGGGTGGCTCAGTTGGTTGAGCGTCTAACTCTTGATTTCGGCTCAGGTCATGATCTCAGGGTCATGAGATCGAGCCCTACATCAGGCTCCATGTTCAGTATGGAGTCTGCTTGCGATTCTCTCTCTCCCTCTGCCCCTCTCCCCACTCGCTCGCTCTCTCTCTCCCTCAAATAAGTAAAAAAATCTTAAAACATAAAGCAAGCTTTCATGTGAAATTTCTTGACTTTCAAATGTTGGCAACTAATTCAAAATGTTTCCAACACTGGGCCACACTGAACTTGTCTGTAGGCTGGATCCAGCTTTGGGGCCCAGTTTGTGACTCTGTCATGGATAGTTCCAAAAGTCCACACCCCATGCATACATCCTACTCTTGCAAGTACAGCGTGCTTCCTTCCACTAGAATGCAAGAGATGCCCACACTCCCGTGACTGGGTCAGGCTAGGCCATTCTCTCTCAGTGCTGTATGTTGAGGTTTCTAGAGAATGCTGATTCTGGTGGGAATTTAAGGGAAGAAATGGTCCCTAAGGACTGCAGGACTGTTGATATATAAATGGTATAGAAGAGTCATTTTGAGTAATTAATGCAGGAACCTAGTGGGCCTGCTCTTTGGAAACATTTTGTTAAAAGGCAAAGTAACTGTAGGCCCTTGAAAGCATTAAAATTTCATGTGTCATAAGATATTCTACACTTTGTGTTGACATTCCTAATTAACAGGGAAATCACTGCAATATTACTTTATTCCAATCCCTAGAATCCAGGGTCATCTATGCTGGATGGGAGCTTAAAATAGATCACTCACTTCAGACCCCTTCTTTTGGGGTAAGGAAATGAGAGTTAATTGGACTTGTCAAAATGACAGTAACTAGTTCAGTGAAGAACTTAACCTGAGTGTGGGACCCCTAACTCCAAGGCTAGTTCTATCAGGCTTCCAGGGAGGGAGATATCTGTATAACCCTGACATTTACACTCAAGCTGCCTCGCTCAGCTTGTCAGTAACCAGAAAGGGGGATTGAGTTGCTAATCGGTTTTTTTTTTTTTTTCTTTCTTTAACACAGAAAGTCCCTTTACAGAATCCTCCCATTAAGTGGGCTGAAGGACATAAGGGAGTATTTAACATTGAAGTGCAAGCTGTTTCTTCTGTTCACACCCAGGTAAGGAACATCAGCGTCCTCTTCAAATCAGAGTCAGAGGGCTCCTGAGGAAGAAGGGGGTGCAGCAGAGAAACCTCTGTGGATGGTCCAATAAAAGATCAGTGAGAGTCTTCATGCATGGATAAAACAAAAAATCACCTTTAGTTCTTTTTGGAGGCATACAGACCTGTTCAGGTTTTACTGGTTGTTTAAAGGGAGAGACCTCCGAAAAATGTCGAGCGCCTAGGTGAAGGAACACAGTATCTGCACTTTGGGCTGAGAAACCATGTGAGGGGCTCCATGTGCAACCTTTTCCTGCTGGTGTCTCACTTCCCTCTGTCATTCCGCCATTTCTCCAAGCTTCCCCTCCCCCCAATTCTCTGTTCCTTCCTTTTCTTGCCACCGTCCTCACTTTACATCTGCTCAGATCCCTTTTTGGCTGTGTGTTTAACCAGGTGTACTCGCCTCTGCCCACAAACCAGATCAGAGGCCAAATTCTGTTTTCTTCAGTTACTAGTCATCAAGAGATTCTGTTTTGTGCCCACTGCTCTATAGAGCTGTTTATAGCCTTGGTCTGAAACCCAGACCTGAGACTCCACCCGTGAAGAGCTATCTGTGCTCATGCATCCACTGGTGAGTGTGGATGGGGTCAGCCCCAGGAGGCCTGCCGTCTGTCTTCCTAGGACAACCACCTGGAGAAGTTCTTCACCCTCTGCCACTCCCTGGAGAGCCAGGTGACCTTCCCCATCCGCGTGCTGGACCAGAAGATCAGCGAGACCTCATTGGAGCATGAGCTAAAGCTCAGCCTCATCTGCCTGAACTCCTCCCGCTTGGAGCCCCTGGTGCTCTTCCTGCATCTGGTGCTGGACAAGCTCTTCCAGCTGTCCGTGCAGCCCATGGTCATCGCCGGCCAGACAGGTGGGAGGCCCACGGGGCTGGGGGGGAGGCAGGAGGGGCAGGCAGCGCCTTGTAGGACACATGATTTTCCAGAAATCCTGAGAACAGGGACAATGGGATTTTCCTTTCTATTGATGATGTGAGTCCAAGGGAAGCCAAGACCAGTGATAATTTTTTTTTTTTTTTTTAGATTTCCTGGACGTTAAAATAAAAACCATATTAATATAGGATGCTTAAAATTACAGTTTTTAAAAATAGATGTATTGAATGATTAGAGGTGATCGTTCAAATTCCATTCCTGGTAATTGATGGATTTATTTGACCTCTGAGATATTTTTGTTTTCTTGACCAGCAAGGAGATATAATGTTTTAAGGAAGTGAGACAAGTCGTATTAAATGGAAGCAAAGGAACTGTCTAAATTGAAATTCAGTGGGATCACTTTTTTTTATTGAGACATAATATGCATACCGTAAAATTCACTAAAGCATACGATTCATTGGCTTTTAGCACATTCACACGGTTGTGCAACTATCCTGGTATCCAATTCCAGAAGATTTTCATTAGCCCGAAATGAAACCCATGCGCCTTGGCAGCCACTCCCCATTCACCCTTCCCCTCAGCCCCTGGCAGCCCCTCATACAGACTTCCTGTCTGAGAGTATATTTTAAAGGCTTACTTGGAACAAATGAACACCAAGTACAATGTGTAAGACTCCTGGGGTGTCCGATTCAGAGCAGAAGGGGTTCCTGGGAGTGTCAGAAAAGAAGTGAATCACACAGTGGGGTTGTGGCACATGAATGGGTGGGGAGGGAGTGATGAACTCAGAGCCTGGCACACACTGGGCAGCTTTCAGAGCCAGGGAAGAAGAAGACCTCCGAATCCCCCGTTCACGCTGTGTCCTGGGACATATCTCTCGTGGCGCCACAGATAAGGTTATCCTGTGCTGCAGGCCAGCATCTCCTATGTGAAGCCCTTGCCTCTCCAGCTAGATTCCTGCAGAGTGGCAAGCTCCCGCCTCCCACGTTCCTTCCAATGTGCCCACATATGTGCACCCTGCTTTGTATGTTCCAGCGATTGCCCACAGACCTGTGCAATAGACAAAGTGTTCATTCCTAGGTTTTGAGCTGCTGCTTTGTAGCAAGTTGCCACCTGTCACGGGGAGAAAGCAGGCCGAGTAGGTAGAGGCACTTAGCATATAAGCATTTATTCAGAACCTATCTGTCAGGAACTATGGTCGTCACAGGAGGGAGATAAGAAGGTGGGAGAAATGCGCCTCAGCCCCGAAGGCTGGAAGCCTGCTCAGAGAGACAGAGGTTACCACCGGGAACAGCCAAAGAACTCTGAGTCTTGGCGTCCCTGAAGCCCGGTACCGAGTGCTGTCCGAGGCTTCGTGGAGGAGGCGGGATGGTGCCCAGCGGTGAAGGGTTGATGGGATTTTGCTGGAGGGAGCACAGAGGGCTTTCCAGCTGAGGACAACAGCGTGAGAAAAATTGCAGAGCTAAGACAGAGCAGACATGTGATGGGGACAGAACAATTGCCTCATTTTAAAGGAAGTTGAATTTGAGCAGGAATGGGTACAAGGTTGGGTAACGAGGGTGGAGCCAAACCGTGGAGGGCCGGGAGCTCCTGAACAAGACCGTACACAGTGAATCAATAGTTTTGTGTGGACCCACTTTGGAGAATGGCATGATACACCTACATTTTTATTTTTTGTAAGATTTTTTTTTTTTTATTTGAAAGAGAGAGAGAGAGAGAGAGCATGAGCAGTGGGGAGGGACAGAGGGAGAAGCAGACTCCCTGCTGAGCAGGAAGCCCGATGCAGGGCTCGATCCCAGGACCCTAAGATCATGACCTGAGCGGAAGGCAGCCACTTAACTGACTGAGCCACCCAGGCGCCCTATACCTACTTTTTTAGATTAACCTGCATGCCAAGAGTCTACATGGTGCGACGGCACATCTCAAACGGGAGTGCGTGTCAGAATCACCGGGGCATCTTGTGAAATGCGGATTCTGACTTCAGTAGGTCTGGGGGGTCTGAGAGTCTGCATTTCTAACAGGCTCCCAGGTGATGGTACTCACATCAGGGCAGGTCCCGCTGAGTAGCACCCAGGTTGCGGGCACGGTGGAGAGGGGGGTTGCCTAGATGGTCTCCTGTCTTTGTGGTGAAGACCCACAGTGCTGGCCAGAGGAGGCAGACGAAGGAGGAGAGGTGAAGTGGTTTGCAGTAAGCAGTAAGTCACTACAACCACTCACCCTGCCCTGGCCCTCGTTGTGCCCAGCCTGGTTCAGCGGGTCAGCTGTGAGGACTCCTGGACGCTGCCCCAGAGAACATTCTAGCTCGGGTTCATTCGGGACCAATTGTGAGGCCGCCCATTTTTCTCTCGGTTCCTCAGCCAACTTCTCCCAGTTTGCGTTTGAGTCCGTGGTGGCCATAGCCAACAGTCTGCACAACAGCAAGGACCTGGCCAAGGACCAGCACGGGAGGAACTGCCTGTTGGCCTCCTACGTGCATTACGTCTTCCGCCTGCCAGAGCCGCCGAGGGACCCACCCAAGTCAGGTAGCGTGGCCCCCAGCTGCGGACGCCTGGCGGGCAGGCCCCTGCCCCCACCCCGCTGCCCCGTCATTCAAAATGTAATAAAAAGCCCAAAGTTAAATTTTATATTTGAATTTTATTGTTTTCGGTTAAAGTTGATTTTATTAATTTTTAATTTATTTTTGTATCAATGATACAAAACTTACGTGGATGCTGAAATTAAAAATTTATTTCTCGTTTTCTTTTTTTTTTTCCAACTTGCTTCCTGCCTCCCTCCCTCTTTTTTTTTTAAGATTGATTGATTTATTTTAGAGAGACAGAGCTCATGAGCATGGGGAGGGGCAGACAGAAAGGGAAAGAATCTCAAGCAGACTCCCTGCTAAGCATGGAGCCCAACACCCAGAGCTCCATCCCAGGATCCTGTGATCATGACCTGAGCCGAAATCAAGAGTTGGACACTTAACTGAGCCACCCAGGCACCCCCTCCCTCCCTCTTTTTATACCCGAAGCACTTATTTTTTTCTGCCTCTGTGATAACCCCTCACTGGTCTTTACCCAGTGGGTAATTTGTTTTCAGGTGAGGATCTTTTATTTTCAAAAATGGAGAAGTGACAACAGGTGTCTAGGATGCTAGGATAATAATGACAAAGAAAAACAATAAATACCCGATAGTAGTGGTGAGCACCGGTTCCTAAAGTTTTCATTGTGAAAAGATAAATCCCTTTCCTCATTTCCCCCAAACTAAACTTTTGAAGTAATAATAATGCATTTCTCCACTCTTCCCAATTATGTTCAGGGTCATACTCAACCGGTACTTCTGGTCAGCAGGATGTAAAAAGTAGCATCAACAAGTTTACAAAATTCCAGGTCCTAATGAAGAAACTTGCCATTTTTATTAGACCATGCAGCCTCATTACAAGTAAACCTGTAATTTTTTTTAAAAAGATTTTATTTATTTGAGAGAGTGAGAGAGAGTAAGAGAGAGTGAGCAGGAGTGGGGGCTGCAGAGGGAGAGGAAGGAGCAGACTCCCCGCTGAGCAGGGTTTCGAGGTTCCGAGCTCGAACCCAAGACCCTGGGATCATGACCTGAGCCAAAGGCAGATGCTTAATGGACTGAGCCACCCAGGTGCCCCAGTAAACCTATAATTTCGATTGAGTTTTTAAAGATACTGGTAATATCTCATAGACGTGCATACTCACTTTGGAAGACATAGATGTAGTTAAAAATGAACAACGATATGTAATATATACTTATCCTCATGGGGTGCAGATGCTTCCTTGGATTCTCCTATCTCAGAAGATCTTGCATGACTTATAAAGTTGTCTTATTTTAAATATTAATAAATTTTAAAGTTCCCATTTCCAGCTTGTCTGGAGCAAGCAAAAGCTCTTGTGACCCCGGGGGCTGTTTCCCCGTCGAAATAATAGGCTGAAGCTCAGTAGCAGCCTCTGCCTTTGGATGAGGCGCATGTTTCCAGTTTACCACAGTCCTCACCGCTCCCTGCTGCCTCACACCCTACTTACCCCCAAAGCAATGCCCCTCTGACCTCCCCTAGGCATTTGATAATAAGACCCTAATTCCAAGATCTAATCAAGTGGGTTTTCATTCCACTCTCCACCCTGTCCCTCTCCAGTTCCCTTCCAAGCACAGTAAGTGACTCGGATCCCCTTTCTGTTGGCATGTCCGTACCTGGTGGAGTGCAGGTGGTGCCGCTACTGCCCTCCCTGACCCGCGCTACCACACATACGGACGCACGTCTGCTGCTGCCGTGAGTTCGAAGCTGCTGCAGGCCCGGGTGATGAGCAGCAGTAATCCAGACCTCGCGGGGACTCACTCTGCGGCAGACGAGGAAGTGAAGAGCATCATGTCTTCAAAGGTAAGGAGGATGCCTTCGCGGGGAAAGGGACGTGAGCTTTTTTAGTTTTAACGAAAACTTGGAGAAACAACACAAAATGGACCACCACCAGTACCAAAGCTCTGCTGGTCACATGTTGTCATGCTTCAGCTTTTGAAATGATCGAGACCATTCTGGAAAGAAGCAGAGGCAAGACTGGCATTGAAGATCTGCTCAGTTAGTTAGTGACGCTGGTGGGAAGTTTTTAGAGCTGATTGAGCCACATGGAATCTATTTTCAAGGGAAACAATGTAGCTTTAACTTTTTTTTTTTTTTTGATGACTAGAACATCAAACATTTTTATTTATTTTTTAAATATCTGCCCTTTACATTCATTAACATCCACAGGTTAATTATCCCATATAATAATTCCCAAGAGCAAAGCCAGGTTTTATAAACAGAAACAGATCCTGAGATGGTTGATGACTTGGGCTATACTGTTTTCCTTCCATGAATTCTTTGCTTTCTCTTGATAATTTCTTTTTATTTTATAACAGTTGCAGATTTACAGAATTACTGCGACTAGAGTACAGAAAGTTTCTGTATATGTCATACCTAGTCTCTCTCTGTTAACATTTTACATTAGAATGGTACATTTGTCACAATTCATGAACTAATATTGGTCTGTGATCATTCTTAACTAAAGTTCATATTTTATTCAGATTTCTTCAGTTTTTCCCTAATGTCCTTTTTCTGTTCCAGGATCCCAGCCAGGATACCACATTATATTTTGTAGTCCTGTCTCCTTAGTTTCCTCTTGGTTGTAACAATTTCGTAGAGTCCCCTCGCTTTTGATGACCTTGACACTTTTGAGGAGTCAGATATTTTGTAAAGTGTGTCTCATTTGAAAATGTTTTCCGAGCCTGTGATATAACCACACACCATAAAACTTACCCTTCTAAGTGTATAATTCAGTGGCTTTTGTTTGTTTTTCCACAAAGCTACCATGAATTCTTCATCTGAATTTTCTTTCCAGTTATCCATGGCCTGCATGGCTAAGTTTTTCAACTAGTATCATTACCCCTGATTATGATAAATCAAACTCTCTAGGTTTCGACATAATTTCTCTTACAAAATCCACGCACTTGAGACAGTATGTTGTGAGAAAAAGGAATTTGGAGACCGGGGTTGGGTCTGGACTCCACCACCACCCAGCCTTGTGGTTATGGGGGAGTCCACTCCTCCCTTGGGCCTTCTGTTCCTCATCTCTGTAGAGTTTCTGGACCCTGGGTGAACTTAAGGATCATCTATGGATCCACTAGAGATTCTGACAATCTCGATGTGCACCATATGAAATTGTTCCTATGCCACCTTTTCTGACTTACAAAATCAATCCAGGGCTGGGCTGGAGTGGGCTCCTACCAGTTTCTGAGAGCCGATTGTTCAAATTTTCTGGCATTTTCTGAGCCAGTTATTAGATACTACTAAAAAATGACATTATATAAATAACAAATAAGTTATACTAAATAAAAAATAATCTAAATGCAACATGGTATCTTGGATTATATCTTGAGGCTGAAAGTGGACATCACTGGAAAACCTGGTGAAATCCGCATCTGTGGTTTAGTTGCTAGTAAGGAGCCAATGTTAATTTCTTAGTTTTGACAAAGGTACCAGAGTGATGTAAGATACTAACATCAAGAGGAACTGGGTGAAGAAGGGCGTGCAAGAACTCTGGACCACCTTTGCAACTTGTCCATAAATCCAAAATTATTCTACTTTAAAAAGATAGTACTCAAACACCAGCCCTTCCTCGATATTTTATTACACATTACTCTTTTCTGTGTTCTTGAGGTTATTTGTGTCTCTAGTAGCTGTATGGTGGAAATACTCCATAATGATTTGCTGGTGTACGTGTCTTCCCAACACCGTGTTCAGTGATGTCATGTGAACTTGCAATCTGCCATGACAAAAGCATTTAAGGTACAGAAATAGGCAAATGCTGTAAATCAGCTCCTCCCCCCAAGAGCTGGTTGTTAAACATTTGCCAACACAGCACAGTCCGACCTCGTGTAAGGTCCCTTTAAGCATTAGCATTTTCTGATTGCCCAGGGGACAGTTGGCCTGCCTCTATCATTGACAGCCTTGATCGTTATGATATCATTTAATAAAAGTGAAAATATTAAATTTCTATGTGGATTGGGTTAAGAATTTTCTAATTGTTGTGTAGCAGGGGGAGAACATTTGTCCACAGTGGTTTTTGACAATTTTTTAAATACAGCATTTAGGAGCCTGTGACAGTACCATCCTAGCCCACAGAGAGGCGCTGTTTCCACACTTTTTTTTTTTTTTTTTTGGTGCTACCCCAATAAAGTCGGAATATCCAAGGGACTTCAGCACCCCCTGTTCCTAAGTAGGTTTTAACTCTGGGTTGGTCTACACACTAAACTACTAACAGTGATTGTCTCAGGAGCAAGTAGAATGAGGTTTGATTTCACATTCTTTGCTTTGTTTTGTATTTATTTGTGACAATTGTTTTACCTTTGTAACCAGAAAAAAAAGTAAGAAACATATGAAAAATGAATTCTGAGGTTGTGAGTTCCAGACCGCTGGCTCATCTTTTAAGTGAACCGCTGTCGGTGGACTGATGAGTCATGGTTTGTGTATTTCAGAGTGCGGATCGCACCTGCAGTCGGATGTCCTACTATTGCTCAGGCAATAATGATGTTCCCAGTTCGACCGCAGCCCCAAGGCCAGCCAGCAAAAAGGTACTGAGTGGGGCAGTGTGAGGATAATTTGCTTGTGTCTTCTTGCTGTGATTGATAACAGACACCATCAAAGTGCTCTCCTGCCTCGCTCCCCCCTCCACACACACACACACACACACACACACACACACACACACTTTTGTAGTTCTGTCCCATGTCATTCATTTTTTGACCAATTGATTCCTATTCAAGGGTTCTCCAGCTTACCATACATCCGAAGTCCCTGGAGGGCTTGTTAAAACTGATGGCTGGACCCTACCCCCAGAGTTTCTGATTCAGTAGCTCTGAAGTGGGGCCCGAGAATTTGCCTTTCTGACAAGTTCCCAGGGGATGCTCATCCAGGGATGATGGTTTGAGAACACCTGCCTTAGTTTCTTTTTCAGTAGAAGATGAGCTGGGGACAGTTCATCCTCAACAAAAGTGCGTGACAATAATTAGGTATCATTTATTTCAATACTCTTTTTTTTTTTTTAAAGATTTTATTTATTTATCTGAGAGAGAATGGGAGACAGAAAGCATGAGAGGGAGAGGATCAGAGGGAGAAGGAGACTCCCCGCCGAGCAGGGAGCCCGATGCGGGACTCGATCCCGGGACTCCAGGATCATGACCTGAGCTGAAGGCAGTTGCTTAACCAACTGAGCCACCCAGTCGCCCTTATTTCAATACTCTTATCAGATGACATGAAAAGCTTTCCTCAAAATTCATTCTAATCAGCTTTACTTAGGAGTTGAGAGACTTTGCGAGCTGCCCACCACAACATCTGATAATAACAGAATTCTTCAGTCATAGTCACAGCCTGTGTGGTTTGAGGGGCGGGACTGTCTCCCTTAAGTTTTTTCTCTGCCAGACTCTCAAGTATTGCTCCATTAGAGTAGTGACTGAAGTTAAGGTCTTGAGTGTCTTTCAAGACCCTTATTAAAATGTAAATATGCTGATTGGAAGGATAACACAGGAAGCCATTTGCAACAGCTGACACAACAGGGAATGTTTATTAAACATGCCAGGAGGGAATGAGCCTCAGCTCAGCTTGCTTGGCACCAAGGGAGGGAAAGATCAAGCGTGGGGGGGCCCTGGCAGGGCCTGAGGGTGCAGACTTCTCAGTAATCCGGGCACCATATGTCTGGGGAGAGGTACAGGGTTAATTTTAAAAGAAGTGAAAGAAGATAGGGCAAGGTGCTGAAAATAATTTTTCACTTACCCTAAAACTCAGCTTTGGGCTTTGCAGGGACTGGTTACATGTACCATTCGACCTTCTTTTTAAAGCATGGTTTGCCTACAGCCTCGCCTCCTTCAGGCAAGCAGGCATGTTTGGCTTTGCCGTTGCCGTGTTTTGACTTTGTTCCTGGCCATCTCAATGCCTAAAAGAGAATCATTTCATTTCAGAGGGAAGTTTAGACAGTGTGTTTCTTCAATAGATCAGCAAAAAAGGATTTAGCTGCTTGGCTCTCTCCTGTAACCTCCGGAGCAAGGTGTTCTTGTAACAATGTTGCCTGGTAAGCAACATAAATTACTTTAAGAAGCAGCTTATCCTCCTCTAATCTCTAAGACTCTGGCAGTCAAACTGACCTATTTTCCAGAGGTTACCTTTGAAGCTAGTGGAGCGAATCTTTCCTACACCGGCAAGATCCAGGTGTAGCTGACTTACATCATCTGCCCACTTAGACCACCTGCTAGATTAACATTCCGCGCCTCATGCCGCTCCCAGGTGGGTGAGCTTCGTGGATGGCTCTGAACAGCAAATGCTTTTCCGTGTACTAAGATTATAAAGGTTTGACTCACCTGGCAGAAGGAAGGTGAACCTCCTGACATGCTGAAACACCTAAGCATTTTGCATTCATCACCATTAACCGGGTGAGGCTATAAATAGTTAAAATGCCCAGAGACCTGCACATAGATTTTCCATTTGTGTCCTTTTGGTATAGCTTAGTAACTCAAATTTTAATGTACATAAGACGGTAAATTGAGTTGTATGCACGCCGTACAGGGTCAGTACCTTGAAGATGTATCAAGGACAATCTTTGCTATAATCAATTTTTGTTTTAGGGGTTGAGTTTGAAATTTAACTGCCATATATGGTAGGACCTTAGGGTGTGGTATTAGGATGTTCAAATAGTTTCAGCTCTCTTACCCACAGAACAATAATCAATTAGTTCATCTGTATTTATTCTAGGTTTTATGGTCACCAGATTAATGAAATCCAGAGAAAATACCCAGACATCATTTTTGCCGTTAGTTAAGGTGGCCACACATCCCTGTTTGCCCAGGACCAAGGGCTCCCTGGGATGCTGGACTTTTCTGTTTTCAGATCGAGACAGTCTCAGGCAAACTGAGATGAATTGGTTGCCCTACCTTTAGTCTTTTTTTTTTAAAGATTTTATTTGTTTGACAGAGAGAGACACAGTGAGAGAGGGAACACAAGCAGGGGGAGTGGGAGAGGGAGAAGCAGGCTTCCCACCAAGCAGGGAGCCCGATGCGGGGCTTGATTCCAGGACCCTGGGATCATGACCTGAGCCGAAGGCAGACGCTTAACGACTGAGCCACCCAGGCGCCCCTGCCCTACCTTTAGTCTTGAGCTTGTTCCCCAGCAAAGCTGTTGTCAAGAGTATTAAGTAGCCACATAAACCCGGGAATGGGAAATGTACAAAAGATGCAAAAGTCACCATCTGCTACATTTGCTCTCGAGCAGTTGGATAACTTGAAGAGAAGTATAGACATAAAGCAGAGCTGAGGAATCTTCCAGCATCTGACCCTGGCACAGAGGGCATTGAGAAGCATGAGTTCAGGCTGCTACCACTATCTAATGCAGAGGATCTGCTCATTAAGCCCAACCCATCACATTTCCCACAGTGCCATAGTGGTATTATAAAAACAAAAATCATCCTATCTGGAAGGCAGTTTAGATATCACCAAGACATTGGTTCTCTAATTGAGGTCCCTGGACCAGCAGCTTGTCACCAACACCTGGGAACTTGTGTGAAATGCGAATTCTCAGGCCCTGTCCTGGATCTGCCACATCCAAATCCGAAACTCTGGGGCGGACCCAGCAGTCTGTGTGTCTTCATGATCCCCCAGGGGATTCTGATGCATGTTCCATTTTGACCACCACTGCTACCAGCCAGCAGATTTTACGGATGAGAAAATGGAGAGTAGAGAGAGGAATGGCTTGCCCGTGGTCACACAGAGGGTTTGCAGCAGGGTTCGAGGTGAAAATAACGGTCCCAGTTCTGACCCACTACCCCAGAATGCAGAGTCACCCCCAGGCAGAGGCCATTCCTTCAGACCTAGCTGTCTTACTTGATACCGCCACCACCAACCTTCTCCGACCCACCTGGAAGGTCCTCCATCTCAAGTAACCTCGGCATTGATTTTGCCATCCACCTGTGGTCTGGGACACCTGGGACACCCGTGTCAGGAACTAACAGTTGGTTCAAAAGAGAAGGGGTGTGGGTATAGAAAGCACCTTCCATCTCAGACTGGTTTTTGTCCTTGTCATCCAGCATTTCCATGAGGAGCTCGCCCTGCAGATGGTGGTCAGCACCGGGATGGTGAGAGAAACCGTCTTCAAGTACGCCTGGTTCTTCTTTGAGCTTCTGGTGAGATTCTGGCCTGTTTGTGTCTGTGCTCAGCAAGGCATGAGGCACATTGCAGAAAGGCAGTGAAGTTGTCCCCCTCTTAGGAACTGACGTTTTATCCCCCGAGTTGCTCCCACTGAAAACCTGGGATGGGTCCTTAAAATCCAACTCTGCCTCACTCCTCTGCCCCACTTCCACTCGTTCTTGTTGATGCTGCCTTGAAAACATACCTCCAGCCTCCGGCTTCTCCTCATCTTCCCTGCTCCCCACCTGGCGCTTCTTGTAATCACTTCCTCTTTCACCCGCCTGCATTTCTTTTTGTTCTGGTCCGTCCATTCTGCACAGGGCTGCCGACTCTTTTAAAACAGATCATGTCAGTCTCCTCTGGAAAACCCTTCCATGATTTCCGGTGTACCAGAAATAAAGCACAAATTTTATCATGGCCTACAAAGCCCTTGTCTGATTATGTTTCCCTCTGTCTCTCACCTGAGCTCATACCATCTTTCCCCCTCTTTCAGCCCCGTTGGTCCCATTTTGGTTCTTTGAAGTTGCTGTGGCCTTTCCAGCCTCAAATCCCTTCTCAAATTCTCTCTCCCCTCCCTACCTTCCATCCCCCCACGCACACACATTTTGGGTTCTTCTCTTTGGGTTTTAGCTTAAATGTTACCACCCCTGAGAAGTCTTTCTGACCAGTTCACACTGTAATTTATCTTCCTCTCTATTATTCTCCTCTTAAACACCCTGTTTACTTCGATTCCAGCAATTATCACACTTTATACTTGCTTTTCTGTATTGCTTATTTCATTTCTAGGATTTGGGTCTATCTTCCTTACGATCATGTCTGCCCCAGCACACTATTGGGTACCAGACAAGTGCCAACTGATATCTACTGGGAAGAAAAAATGAGATTTGTAAATTTGTTTACCCTACAACTTCTGTCTGATCTCTACCAGAAAAACAGAAGGCACAGCCGTGTTCCTTCGTTTTAGAATGAAGACAGTAATACTAATACCCCTTTTGTAACTGATTATTGAAGTGAAAAGATTTTACTATAAAGCTGTAAAGCAACTAAGAATATCCATGTCGTCAGTGCTGATAAATGGAGATAAAATTTGATGTGATGTTAAATGAAAAAGGTATACAAGTGTAGACACAAACTATAGTTAACCCATGAACAATGTGGGGGTGAGGAGCGCCAACCCAACCCCTGCACGGCTGAAAATTCTCATGTAACTTTTGACTTCCCAGAAACATAACTACTAATAGCCTATTATTGCCCAGAAGTCTTGCTGATAACATAAACAGTCGATTAACACATATTTTATATGTTATGTGTATTATATATTGTATTCATATGCTAAAGTAAGCTAAAAGAAAAGAAAATGTTAAGAAATCATGAAAAAGAGAAAATACATTTATAAGGCTGTACTATACTTATCCAAAAAAAATCCGCATATAAGTGGACCTGTGCAGTTCAAACCCATGTTGTTCAAGAGTCAACTGTACATAAAAATGTTCATACAAACAGTCCCAGGGATTAGGATTAGGAGTGGATTAGGATTTAGTGGTAGAGTGAGCTTTATATTCACTGGGTTCTTTCCCCTGTGACATTAACTGAATAATTTTTTTTTAAGAGAGAAGGTAGGATTTCCCCCATGAGCTCTAGTTTATTTATTTAGGTTGAAGCCTAAGGAAAAGGGAATACTACTGAACAATAGGATACAGACAACAGGGGGTCAAAGGAAACAAAAATGAAAGTCACACTGTGGAGGAAATGGGAAGCGATGTGCAGTAGGGTTAAAAAGGAGTCAGGCCCACACCGCAAAAACATCCAGGATCCCAATCTTTTAGCATTTCACTGAGTTCCAACCACTAGCTTGAGAAAGCTGTTTTCAAAGCACAGCCTCAAAGTCTTGCAACAGAATCACCAGGGGGAAGAAGGGGGTGCTTAGTAAAAATAAAGCAGATTCTTGAGGCCCTCCCTAGCACTAGTGAATGCAGTGAGGAAGAGTGGAAGTCAGCAATGTACATTATTAACCTGTCTTCCTGGGGGACTTCTAAGCTCACCGAAGATCCACTAGTCCACACCATCCCTGCCCTGTGAGGCCTCAGCAGAGCTAAGGGTCTGTATACATGGCCAGCGCCAGGATTTTCCATTCTAAAAGCCAACCTCATCCAGGTGGATGCCTGCAGCCTACGAGTCTTGGAGCAATAACGTTAGCAGTGAGACATGAGCTCTGTGCTCTGGCAGCGAATGGACTGGCCTTAAAACTCTCTGTTGAGGTGTGAGAAGTATCAATACCAACACTCCATGCCCTGTACATCCTTCTACTTACTTAACCCACTCACTGTCAAGTTTCTCTGTAAAGAGGATTCACTTCGGTCATAATCCGTCTGTAGACAATTCATACGAATAACCTTCATAATGCAATTGCATATGGCAGTTGAGTCCATTTGTCATATTGCAAATGAAAAGTCAAGAAGCAGAAAGTAAAATTGATATTGTAGAATCTCAATGAACAAAGTCCCAGAGGAAAGCAGTATCCCAATTCAATGTTTTCACACACGTGCACACATACGTACACACACACTTCACCTCATCATTCTTAGATATTATTGAGTAGTTATATAAGTACAATTGTTTGACCAGAGAACCAAACTTCTAGAATGACGGTTCTCAAGCTCAGCTATGTGAGAATTCCAGTAGCAGCTGTCAGGGCTCTTTCCTACGTCGGAACCTCAGTAGAGAGCTATGTGATAAGTACCTGAGGGGTTCTCCCCACTGCACACACAGGAAACCAAGGCTAAGGAGGGTTTGCCCAGCCCTCTCAGTCACCAAGGACAAGATGCTCAAGGCTGTAGTCCAGCTTCTGTTCTTCTGCCATTTGGCCTCTCCTTGGAAGCTCAAAGTTGCAAAACATTTCCTTAGCCTAAGCTGTTAACAACATGCAAAACCTTTATATTCGGAAGTCAGCTTTAATGCAGCAAAGCTACGCTTTTGCCATTCCCAGCCAGAATGAACTCAGCCTTTCGAGGCCTGAGTGGCTCCACCTGGCATCCTGGAGCTTTGTCTTGAAGGCAAGTTTGCATTCTCTGCGGGTGTCCCAGTGACTCTGCCCTTCATATAATCCCAGTAGCCACTGGCATCCCTGAGGAAGGAAAAATAATCACATCCAAAATGTATCATGCGTCGTACTGTGTATGTGCTGGGCACCGTTTTAAGCTTTATCTCATTTAATCCTCAAGCAGCCTTGAGGCCAGAGTTTTCTATCATTCCTGTACATGGATGGGGTTGGAGGAAATGTGGTGGCTCTAAGGAGGAATCTCCAGGTCTGCCAAAGGCTTTGTCTTCTTTAGTACCCTTAACCACAGGGAGCTAAGAACCATGGAAAAGGTGAAAATTACTTTTGATCTTGCACATTTATCTACTAGGACTCTGGGAGAGGAAGCAAAAGCTAAAGCTGGTAGCTCTCCTTCCCTCTAGGAGTCCTTGATGGTAAACAGATGAGGTAGCTGGAAAGAAAACTCCTGCTGATCTGAGCGTATGGAAGGGATTGACCAACGGGCAGATCTCCCAAGACACTGGTGCCCCAGGGCTCTGCATGTGGTAACCTAAGTGTGTCAGGGTCCTGGCAGGACACCGTTGGCATCACTCAGAAGGCTTGACGGAAAAGCATTCATCAAAGGGACAGTGCCAGGGTGAGCACAGGGGGTTGGTGGGGCGCCCGGGGAGGAGCCTTTATCTACCCATTCTAGGTCTGGAGGAGCGAAGGTGGGGAACAGTGTAACTGGGATTTAGAGAAAGCTGAGGCAGAGCAGAGGATCCCCATGACAGGAGCTGAGGACATATACCTCTGTGTCCTCTCCCCCACTGATCCCCTGCTGGTACCTCCTCTTGGCCAACTCCAAGCAGAAGCCCAAGGAGGCCTAAGAGACGGAGTCCGTAGAGATCAGCTTCCCAAGGTTCAGAGATTGACACAAAACACCAAGAAATGGATCTCGGCGCTGGGATGGGGGCAGATGGAAAGTACTGGGGCCAGCCAGAACTTTGCACAGGAAACCGATCCCAGACCCAGACAGCGTGCGCAGTCCTCTATGCATTATTTGTGCATTTGCCTTACTGATGCTCAGGAAGCTGTTTAAAAACCAAAACAGTTTTTTTCCCCCATGAAGCCTAAAGAGAAAGAGAGGACAGCCTCCTTGGACTTAGCCAACAACCTGCGCCATTTGACACCCTTCAATTGTGTTAATGCCCAAGCGCTAATAAACAACTACTTTGGCTTCAGAGCTGTTGAACACAGGCTTTGGGCCAATTTCACACTTGCTAATGAATAAATCCCTGTGCTTCTAGAAACTGCTGAGCCAGACTTTGGGGACCCACAGGTAAATAGGTGACCTAGTTTACTCAGAACGTGAAGTTTTGCACCAACAGGCTCTTTAGAGGTACCCCTGCTGTGATGGGTCATGAGGGCCAATGGGGGGAAAGAATTTTCCTGCCTCACCCCACCTACAAATAATATAGACCAAGCATCCACTAGTATTTATTTCTACTGGATGTTCTTCTCTGAAGAGCCAAAGGACACAGTAGCTGGCAAGTGACTTACAGTCTGGAAGGAGGCCATTGATTGGAAGTACGGTATTGTGAGAATTATTTATTTGGTTGTAGGATGGCCAAGCTCAGCAGGCAGAAGCCGGATATAACAGTGAGTTCTAAAAGTCTGGTGCTAGGGTGAGTTCGCCGGAAGAAAAATCAGGATGGGGGCAGCTCAAAACAAAGAGGCCTTGTCTTCCCTAGGTCCTTTGTTAGGAACATGGTGAGAGAGACACTTTTGTCAGACAAAAATGGAGCCCAGTCCCCATCTCTCATCCTGATCCTCCCTCCCACCAAGTATGTGAGACTCCGTGAGGTACAGACTCATCTGTGTGTCCGGAACCAGGCAGGACTCTCCAGTGAAGAGAATCCATGGTCCTTACACTGGGCTTAGGATCCTATGTTCTTAGCTCTTCTCTGAGCTGGCCATGGTATTATCTGAAAACAGAAAATACATAAAGCCTGTCTGTTATTCTCTTCTTATTTTACCTTCTCTTTGTGTTTTATCTCTGTTTGTCTCAATGCTAATGAAAATTACTGGCCCTGCGTTCTTAGAACCAGGAATCTGCTGGTAGTGCATGAAAGTTCTCCCGTATGGTGACTTCAGTTCCCATCATAGGAGCAGAGAGCATTTTTCCCATATAACTGGCTTTGTCTCCTCTTCTTCCAGCCCTGACCTAGGGAGTCATCTTCAGGCAAAAGTGGGCAATTAACTCCTAGGACCATTTCTTTTTGCAATGACTCTCTTATTAGGCTGGGCACATTCACGAGAATGACCTCAGAGGGTAGGCATCCAAGGTAAGAACTCCCAGTCTTGCCCATCAGAGTGTTCCTGATAGCTCTAAGGAACTTCTAACAAGGAGGAGACATGACCCCAGATGGTGTCAAAGGGCCTTGTATTACCCACGAATCTCCTGGCCTCAAGAGGAAGTCCAAAAAACAAAATGTGATCTTGATTTTAAATGGTGGTAGGCATTGAGCTGGTGTCGTATATGGTATATTTTTAATACATATCTTTTAAATATATAAATATATATATATATTTTAAATGTTTTATTTATTCATGAGAGTCAGAGAGAGAGAGAGAGAGAGAGAGGCAGAGGCAGAGGGAGAAGCAGGCTCCCCTCTGAGCAGGGAGCCCGATGCGGGGCTCGATCCCAGGACCCTGGGATCATGACCTGAGTCGAAGGCAAATGCTTAACCATTTGAGCCACCCAGGTGCCCTATAAATATATTTTTTAAGTAGATATATAAAGCAAGATAGTCTTAATTGAATTCAAAACATAACTTCTCCTAGAGGCAATGTTCCAAATAGTGGTTAAGTTGCCAGCGAGCATAATAATAGAATTGTTTCTGGAAAACTGTGCTCCCTGTTTCAACTTGAAACTCAAGAGGAGCATTTGTCCCCTCTTCTCCTTATTGTTTTGGGGACAGAAGTGACTTCAGTTCACATCAAAAACGGTATCCTGAACAGTTCCTTCTGTGGCACGTGTTGGCCCCGTCATCAAGCAGTACCTGAATGGTGACAGGAGCCCTGTCCACATCTGCCTTGCCGTGGGCGGTTGAGGAAAGGGCAGTCTTCTAACACTAAAGCTAGAGAACGAAGCTCCCCGGCTTTGTGAGCAGCAAGAAGGAAGCCCCCTGACTTGGGGTCAAGAAGAGGACATCCTTCCCACCTCCTGCCACCATGGTAACCCTCTGTGTGGCAAGAGCATTTTTTGTCCGGTCTTCTTGGGCAACCACCAGTGCAGATAAAGTGTTAGGAAGTCCACTGTTAATGAGCTTTTCTTCACGTCTTTCCCCCTTCTCCCCAGTGTACAAGCAGCTCACCGATTTCTGTGCTGACATTTCCCCCACCCCCTCTGTAGGTGAAAAGCATGGCACAGTATGTACATAATATGGACAAACGGGACAATTTTCGGAGGACTCGTTTTTCCGACCGTTTCAAGGATGACATAACTACTATTGTTAATGTGGTCACCTCGGAGACTGCAGCCCTTTTAGTGAAACCTCAGAAGGTAAATGTGTCGTTATTCTTTATTTTCTAAATCTCTGACCTTGCGCGTCTGTTATTTCCCTAAGCAGAGAAAAAGAAGCATCCTCTTAAGCCAGTAATTTAAATGTAACTAAATAAACATGACACCTAAGTGCAGTTATTACCCTGGATGGGACTCTAGGGTGGGGCTGGGGGATTGTCAATATAGATACAGGAGGGAGTATTCTCGTTCTTCGAAAATACATCTTGACGTATTACGTACGGAGTAATGGGCATGATTTTTGCAACCTACTCTCAGAGTCAGTGCCTCTGAAAAAAAATCGTTATACACAGAGCATGATAAAGCTAATGTAGCCAAATGTGAAGTATTGATAAATCTGGTGAAAGGGCATGTAGGAGTTCTTTGTACTATTCTTGCACCTTTTCTGTATTTGAAATTATGTCAAAATAGAAGGTTGCAAAATGAAAAAAATGAACTGGAACAATTTTAGAAGGCAACCATAAAATGTGAGGCAGGAGTGGTCATTATTAATACCTTTACCATTATTAAGAATGTGTAGAGTACCCAGTGCTCGGGAGGTTTCCGTTTGGTTATTTCTCGTGGCAAACTGTCTCAATGAAGCAGTGGTCTGCATTTTGGCAGGCATGGAAAAGGACATGCAGTGAGGTTGATAGATTTTCCAAAAGCCATGTGGCTAGCAGCAAAGCCAGGACTGAAGATTCCAAGCCCAGAATATTCAGACAGTTATGTAAGCTGCCCAGGAATGGTCCCTCTGCAGGATCCTGGGGCAGGCAGACTTGCCACTCAGAGATACTGTGGAAACTTCTCTGTCAGGTCCCTCTCCATCCCAGGGGCTGTTCAGCTTGGCCTGAATTTGCAAACGGCACATCAGAACAAAAGGAAAATATTCTTAAATCATATTTTCAGTAGAGGCAGAGAAAAGTGATTTATCATTCTGAGAACGAAGGACATAAATATGAAAAAGTGAATCCCCAGGTGCTCTGAAGTCCTGTAAAATCTCTCATAAATATGAGCACCGAGAGATGACCAAAACCAAAGCTCTTGCCTCAGTTCATGCAAGAGTTCCCTCTACCATGTGTAACTCTGACCTCTCTTAGGCTGGGAATGCTGCCTAATTGGAGGGAAAAGAATTTCTTATGTAACAACCAATTCTTGTATCCTGATGAGATTTTCTCAACAATTCCTTATAAATTAAGAATCTGTCTCACTGAAGATAGTGGATACATTTCATGTTAGTTTTGCCAAAACAGTAGTTACCAGAATCAAATAAGTTATGGTAGAAGCATATGAAAAAAATATGAGATAGCCATTAAAACCAAGTTTTGAAGAAAGGCTTAAAATGTGGAAAGATGTTCATAGTATAATGTTGAATGAAAAAATTCGAGGCCCAACATCGTGTATAGGAGAACGAGCTCAATTATGTACATATGCATATGCATATAGGAAAAGAAAGACTGAAGGAAATGTACCTAAATAATAACCATAAATGAAGAATTGCTTGATTCAACCCAACACTCATGACACCTGCTAAGGGCTCACTTGTATTTGCTGCAGTTTGCAGGGTCACCAGCTTTGCTCCGTTTCTCCCCCAGGGACACTGGCTGAAATAGTAGGGATCTGTCTGTCTCGGCTTTCCCACAAGGGACCTGGTTGTTCCTGATCAGGGTTTACCGCAAAATGATTCGCGTGTTGGTTTGTTTTTAAGGAAAATGAACAGGCAGAAAAGATGAACATCAGCCTGGCTTTCTTCTTGTATGACCTTCTCTCACTCATGGATCGTGGCTTCGTATTTAACCTCATCAAACATTATTGTAACCAGGTGAGCATCCCACGGACATAGCTGTGTCGTTCCTGGTTCCTTCTCTTCCAGTGTCATGCTCATTGCCAAGTTAGCTTAACTCCTGTACATTCTGGGTTTTGTGATCATTTGTTTTACGTCATTTGTCTTCTGCTGTGGACATCACTAGACACCCTGGTTCGCATGGATTCCTGGAGCATTTGCCAACGCAGCGCAGAAAAACAGACAAAAGTCCCTGCCCCCATAGAACTCACCATTCAGGGACTCAGATCCAGAGATCGTTAGGATTGGAAGATAATTCAAGCTTCGCCCTTTTGGTGTTCGGGTTAGGCACGAAGAATGGAAGGAACTTGCCCAAAGTTACATGGCGGAACACATCCAGAGCCACGGTCTCCAGAGTCTTTCCTGGGGTTCACCTCCGGTAGCACACCATCGCCCTCCCTGGAAAACCTCTCCCTACGACTCCTCTGTTTTTCCTTCCTCTGCTGAAGAAGTTTCTGGACTCAAGTATGCTGATTAGTGGCAGCATCGCTATATGTTTACAGGGTTGTCTGATTGTCTTCACTGGAACAGTTAACAGAAATCACGTGACGGGCACATTGGGTCTCAGACCAGGTCTAGAATTCAACACATGAGGTCTCTTTTCACATACTAGGGCAATTAATTAAAATGTGCTTGTGGAATTCGGCCTTTAAAGAACCCTGATAAAATCGGCCAAAGAGACCGCCTCACCGAGCGCAAAGCAAATATTTAGAATCCAAGAGCGTCTTAGCAGTTCCGCCACCTCAGATTTTTAAGTAGGCTTCTTCTTTTGTTCGCCATCCCCCTTAAATGGCTCCAGCAGTAGTCCTGTAAGTAGCGGTTGACGGCTGTCGTTGCTGCTGCTTCCCTTCCCTGTTCCTGCTCCCACTGTCATCACCTCCGACTCTCACTGCCACCCCCTAACCCCCAGCACCGTCACCGGCCCGGTCACCAGGGCTGGCTCCTCGCTGCGAACCAGGCACTGTCCTGCACGTTTTCTAGAAGTAGCATCTTCAATCCTTGCAGGGTGTCTTCTACCTTTTGCAAATGGTAAGGTTGAGGTTTAGAAGAGTCTTGTAACTTGTCCAGGTTGGAAAGAGCCACATCTACCTAACTCTGGGGTGCAGTGGATTAATCACTTCTCTTAGGCCTGGCTCTCCGTGGTTAATCTCTTCGTGACCCTAAGTAATTCATTTAACGTTTCTGGGTCTTATTTCCTCATTTGTAATAGTTTGTAATAGAAAAGGAACTCCCCCCTTTCCCCCCGCAAAAAAAAGACCATGACTTTTCTAAAGGAACTCGTAATAAACCGACCTGTAAAAAGAGAAACCTAAGGAAACCTCAGAATTCCCAGAACATCAACATCTTGAGTGCCCTGAGCTCCTGACCCTGCGTGGATCTTCTGTTTCGGATTCCACCAGAATGCAGGGGTGGAGGACTGTGCCTTTCCTCTTTGCCTTTCCTCTGTGCAGTCCCTCTTAGGTGTTGAGGATTATAGGTCATCAGATGAATTGCAAATAAAAGTTAATATTTTTTTCAAAACAGGTCATTGGATGAGTTGCAAATAGTAAACCCGTTTTTCAAAAGTTAAAATAGGATATATAGAAAGGAGATACTGAACAGCACGGTAGGCCCATGGGTTAGCTGCTTTTAAAGAAAAAAATGAATCATGACAGTAAGGCAGACTTTTATTCGGGAACATCGAGATAAGTGTGGGGACCGTTGCAATGGGATTTTACAATACGGCAGATTGGGCTCAACTATAAATACAAGGAAAAGTGGGAACTTATAGCCAGGGAGCGGGGTGGGGGGATTAGTGGATGAAAAATTCGTAAGCAGAAGCCTCAGAAGAGAGGAGGATTCTGGCTGAACCAACCTAACAGGATTCTTACTGAAGACAGGCCAGGGTGACCAGAAACCCCCCGGGGGGCTGGTGAGGGATGAGCGTTGAGGAATTGGGCAGATACCAAGGTGACGGTCAGACATCAAGGCTGGGTGGGGGTGGGGGGACTCTGGCTAAACTGATGGAGCAGGATCCTTGCTAAAAATCGAGCTCTCGAGGACATGCTCAAGGGTGGGCCTATTTGAAAAACAGCTCAGAGGAGCCTGGCTCGCATTCGGTGAAGGAGAGACTCTTCATCACACATGGATACTTTTCATTACCAAAAAACCAACAAGGCAGTCCAAAGAAGATGTCTACCTGCCCTGCAGAGGCCCTTTATAATTTCCTCTTTCGTTTTCCTTTCTTCTCTCTTTCTCTCTCTCTGTTTTCAATCTTTTCCTTTTCTTTTCCGTTAGGGTTGCCTCTCATTTACCCTCTCTTTCTTCCTCTTTTGTGTCTCAGCTTCCAGAGAGCCTCAGACTTGGAAACTGGAGACCTGTGTTCTAATCCCAGTGATGCCGTTCAACTCCTCTGTGGGATTTGGGCAGCTTTATCTTGGCATCAGTAGCTCCCTCATCCGCCAGAAGCCAGAGCTGGATTAGATTTATTCAGGCTTTGACGTTTTGATTCTCTGCTCTGTTGGCCGGTGACGTCTGTGGATAGTGCTCAGCATAATTAGTGTAGCACTCGGACCTACAGTGATCACGTCCCGTAATCAAGGGTGATTCAATCCACTGATCCCAGCTATCTAGATAGACTATGAGCATCATACCTGACGCAAGTTACATTCTTCCAAAGTCCTCTGATTTTATCATTTTCGCATACCCTCATTCAAACACCCCATCGTATTTCCCACCATTTATAGACCTTGTGATGATGGGTGTGATCTCAGCCTTTTTTTAAATAGTCACGGACAGTAGACACATCTAGCTTTTCAGTTGCTTGAGGTCACTTTCATCGTGCCGCTAAGGTAACACCCGTCCCTTGGGGAGTGCGACTGAGGCCGCTACTTTGGGTCCTGACCTTTGGGGAGGATGTTTCCAGCACTGCCCCTTATTCTCTTCTAAACATCACCAAAATTATTTTTGCAATTTCCGTCTTTAATGAAGTCTCAAGGGACCTATTGAGGATACCTTCTTTCAAGAACAAAATCTTACGCTTTCACATTCTGACTGGTTTGACCCAGCAGCTCCCGGTGAGTGACCATTAAGTGAGGGGCGTACGATCGGGTTCTAATCAGCTCAGTTTGCTGGTGGCTCCACTGGTCCGAAGTCAGGCAGCAAGACACACTGACAGAGAGCATCGGTTCTGGTAACCGTTCTTACCCAAAAGTCATGTTTTATTTTTTACATAGTATGTAACTGCAACTGGTGGATCCTGTAGGCAGAATGACCCACAGCACAAGGGCTTCCCCTAAGATGGCTGAAAATACGTTGCTCATTTACATTATGTCCTTTATAAAACTGCTCTCAGAGTCCAGAAGAGGAGGCAGGTCCGTTCACAAGGATGAGATGCTGGGGCGCGAGGGTGTTGATGATGATACATTGAGAGTCTCAAGGCCCCTCATGGCCCCCTTTCCTTACTTTGCCTTAAAAGAAGCTGCGTCTGAGTCAGAGCCCATAGAGTCTGGGTCTTCAGTTGTCACCTCATCCGAGGGAAGCAAATGATCTCTTCCATTTTGTCACTCTTCTCAGCATTTCATTGCCTATGCTGTGGTTTTTGTTTTAACTTTTTTAATTGAAGTCAAATTAACATACGGTATGATATTAGTTTCAGGTTTACAGCACATTGGTGCAGCAGTTCTGCACGTTACGCAGTGCTCACACAAATGTGATCTTCACAGTCACCATCCGGTGTTGCTACCACATTGTTGACTGTACTCCCTGTGCTGCACTTTTCATGGTTAGGTTGTTTAAGGGGAGACGTCCTCATAACTCCTGCAGCTTTCTCTTGCTTTCTCCTCCTCTTCCTCCCCTCTTACTTTGGGGCAGACTGCAGCTTTTTTTGCAGGGACTACATACTTTCCTCAGTAATGTGATGCCTTTATCTAGGGAGCCGGCCTGAGAACTCCCCATCGGGGCCTTTAATTAGAAACTACAAAAGA